GAAATTCCTCTCAATGTCGCTATAGGAAGCTATATTTAGTCAATAATTATTATACTCGCTGTGCATCGCAAGATGGGCATAAAAGACGTGAAATAACTTCGTGGTTCCGCAAGGAGCTTTAACCTAAGCTATGGGAGCTCGTGGCTATAGATACTGAAAGTATCCTCTCCTCTAGATGTATTGCCTGGCATCCTAACAGTACCTCCATCCCCAGAATATGAGACGCGAATGATTACAAAGGATTTTAATGGAGATTATCGTATATATAAACAAGTCACGTTCGTTTGACGCTTCCTATGTGCCATGCACATAGTTCAATATAATAAGACCTGCTAGTATCACCTTACTATTATATATCCTTTGATTCTTTACAATTCGTATCTTTATATAGCTATGATGCCTACTTAATACGTGTGGCTGGGATTGCAGGATTACCTGGTGGTGATCGCAAATAGAAGCAACACTAGTTAATATGTAAATTTCGGGTGTATATACAGTACGGGCCATGCAGCCAAAGTAATCTAAGCTGCTTCAAGGGTACTCGAATTATAACCGCGAGTCTTAGTACGAGGCATATATTATTACGAGTATCGATGCGGATCATCTCCCTACCTCAACGTTGAAGACGGCCAAAAATAGAAAGACTTGAAAGTTGGTTCTAAAAGCCGTGTATAAATGATATGACCTGATAGCTGGGAGACGCCAAATAGGATACTAACCCGAGGAGGCTAGGAGATGGCGTCCACGCAGCGGTATGGAGTTGCAATCGTCGATAGTACCCCCGATTAGTTCCTGTCAGTAGTGCTAAAATAGAATAAGCATCTAGTTCTCGTAATTGTCTACAGGGCCTGCCACGGTAGGTGTTTGAGAAGTCTCCAGCTACCTAATAACTAGGTTAGTCTGTTGTGAGGTGAGTTATAGGTAGATGGATAACCATCTGAGTTTAATGAAGGACCCGGCACATGTCCTTCAGATACTCGATTTAAATCTTATTCCTTCAAATGCCCCTCCATTCCACCCTTCGTCTTGCTGCACTTAATAAGAACCTAGACGTAGTCGTCGAGTATACTGAGACCTAGATAACGCCAGCGGGTCCTGAAACAGCCGTTTTTATTCGGAGAACATCCAACGAGGCGCAGATTGTGCCAGGAGCTTGGCATTATCCTCGACGATGCAATATATATGATTAGCTATATTTTATCTCCGATGACTCTCGGCGACAAGATAGACGTCATTGCCGTGAAACGTTAATAGCGGTACTAGGGCTCGATATAGAAACACAAGGTAATCCGACAACTAAGAGGCGCTGATCTTATATACGACAAGGCTGTCTGGTATTAGAACTGTCTGTCTCGTATCATATCGTATGCGCATAGAGGTAACCGGAGTGAAAGCATGATAAGCGTATAGGATTATGGGTATGTGGTGATCGGCGAAGTCAAGCTTTACACTAGAGGAGGCTGACATGGTAGCATGGGGGCAAGGTGCACGGGTCTGCCTACGGCAATAAGTTGGATCTGGGGCCGGGAATTTATCATGATGTTAATGTTGATATCATGTGGAGTTGATCTGATTGATTTAGACATGGGTATGGTATGTCAAGCTTCCCTCAAGACTGTAAATAGCAGGGAGAAAATAGTAAAATAGTAATTAGCAAATAGTAAATAGCAACTAAGCAGCACGTCAGAGTTTCATATTAACGACGACTTATAAAGACCCACAAAGACAAATATTAATAGGTGGCAGTGGAAGAGAGGCGGAGAGGGGGAAGGGGTAATTTAGATGACAGCTAAAGTGGGCTAAATGTAGTTCAGTTAAATGTGGTTAAATGTGGTTAAATGTAGACTCGTTCGCCGTTTTGGGAGCGGGTGCGGGACCGAAGGCCGAGGGCATTGTCAGTATTTCTGCTACTTCTAGTAAAAGCTATCGAACATAGGACAAGAAGGAATGCATATTGACAAGTCATATTGGTAAGTTGATGTGTAACCTATATAGATACCTGATATGAAATATGAAAGTCTTATTCAGATCTAGCTATTGCGTGTATAACATCTATAAGACGAACGATTGGTTGATTTTCTTCATCATGGCTAAAAAAGATCGACAGCCCCCACGGACCCATACAGACAAACAAAACGAGACTAAACGAATGCGAATGATGTTGTACATCCCCTGACCTGGATGTCTCTCACCTTACAGCCCAGCCCTATTGGAAATATGAACCCTTGTCTATTCTGCATACGTCCTGCGTGAGCATGGCGGTCGAATGTCGTAAGTGGTGATAGAACCAAAACAAAAAAAGAGAGCTCTTCACAATTGCCGAAATTCGCGAGGAATACGATCCATCGTACGCTACCAAGGAATGCCAATGACACCGTTCTCCGCTCCCTCCCTTTTTTTGCCAGTCCCCGCCCAAGAATAGGGGAACTCTTCCGCGAGGAAGGATGCCGCTACTCGATCTAGTAAGTCTATGCCATGACAGCCAATGATACTTTGCCGTCTAAGTCTAACCTGAAAAAAGAAAGAAAAAAGAAAAAAGAAAAGCAAAGAAAAGCAAATCCAGAGAAAGAAAATAAAAATAAAAATAAAAAGGAAAGGGGGGGAAATCCGCCACGCCAGCTGGATGACGACGGGAACCCCATGTTAATAAACGAAAGTGGATAGATGAAACAGAAATAAGACCATGAAATCTAATAGGGGCGAGAAAGGTATAAAGAAAGATTAAATCGTCGAATCGTAGTTCGCAAGGTACCAGCCCTAAGGACACAGCCCTATGCCGTGCAACCTGCGCGTCAGCGTTGCACTGCTGCATGTGTCAAAGAGGTCTGCGAGCCGCTTTCCGACCCGACTCAGCACGGTGCGCTTAGGTATACGTTTGACGTTCGTCAGGTATCCGCCGGGCTTGGCTTGTGAGGCTGGTGGTGAAGCGTGCTTATACGGTCGTTATTGTTGATGACGTCGGCCGAGAGTATATGCCCGAAACCGCAGGTGAGCCGTGAGTGGTGACAGCCACGTTACCGAAAGTCCTTCCAGACTGTCCTATACCCGAGAGACTGGAAGTGTTTGGGAAGTGCCTAACAGTTCCGGCACTGGCGCGTAGTGCTTGAATTGGAGAACCTGGCTCGTTCTCTCTGTAGGAATTGAGATGAGACATGTGGGGACTCGATACACTCTTTGGGACATATATGAGAGTGTGCAGTCTGGTTTCATCCCGATCTGGATCATCGGTAAGCTTATCTTCGTATTTTGCTTTCCGCATGTTCATGCTTTTCCCTTCGCAGGGGTCGTCGGATGGGATTTCTGGTGTGTATAAGATATCGGGCTTGCGGGCCAGATATTCATAGAATAGCCGTCTCGATAGAATCATGTCAAGACCATCGGTTCCGATATTGCCTTTTTCCTGCCCCACTACTTCATAATCTACGCTCCCTGCGGACCTGCGTGGACTAGGCGGCGGCGTAGGCACGTCAGGCTGGGGGTTGATCGGTCCTGGTCTGATACGGTATACACGGTTAGCTATGATTCACTCAATTCGATAACCCCCGGTGAGAGAGAAGATGTTCTTCAAATGTGCGTAATAATACAGCCATGTTTCAAAGTGACCACACTCTAGGGGGTTAACGAAGGATCATTGATACTGACCTAGGGCCTGGAGTAGGTGGGCGAGGGGGGTGGGGAAATGAAACCGGCTCGCGTGCGGCGAACCAGCCATTCATAACCAGAACGGCAAGGATGGAGATATTCTCTGCTACGAGTCTCTGTAGCCACTCCATCTCTACTGAAGAATGTGGGCTGGGTGGCGGTGTCGGTACCGGCGGACGGGGAGGGATTGGGGGTGGCCGAGGAGGCCCTGGAGTTGGGGGACGCGGTGGATCTGGGAATGATATCTTCCCGGGAACTTCCATATAGTACGCTGCCGAGTTGAATTTGGCGCGGTAGAACGCCTTCTGGTCGTCATTCTTTGATGATAGGACCGATATTGGCCCTGGGCTAGGGGGAACTGACATAGCAAGGTGTGGCATCTTTGAATTCTCCGCGCGAGTTTTGCAAAATAGTCACGTTTGATGTGTCTGCGTCTTGGAGTTGAAATCGCCGTGATGGTGATGAGAGGAGCTGTACTCGGATGTGCTTCCAGGTGGCCATTTTATAGTTTTCTTCTGACTTATAGCGAGCGTATTTCCTGGTTGAGGAGGAATAGGGGCACGGCGAAAGGAAGCAAAGGATGTAGGTTAGATGACGGGCCGGGACGTACCGCATCGGATATCTCATGATCCCACTTCTAAGCAACCGTACCGAAAGAAGCTCTCGTGAACAGTCCTGTGAAGATAAAATAGCCTACCCTGTTTGCCATACTAAGAAGTAGACCACCATGTTGTTATCCGTGGTCCTCTCCACTATAAGCTCTATACACACCTAGGGACTCAACTTGCGACGTAGAGTCAGTCCTGTGCCGTTATCATTTGCGGCTCGCAACTAGGCCTCTCTTAGACGATCTCTAAGTGTCAAGAAAAACCAAGTCACCACAGCATACCCTGGAGGGCGAGCCTGGTACAAAGCGTGCATATATTCGTAACTTGAGGAATGACGAATCAATAAGCACGCCGTGATCTTCGCTATTTCCACTCGCAGTGTATTTCTTGAAGAGTTAGGCATACTGGTTGGCGCAGATCCGGCTATACTCGAAAGTTGTACACGCATTAGGCTTTCCGTGGCCAAGCAAGTCAGCTCAAGCACACAATCGGAAGATGAGATATTAGGTATAGTGTCACCTAATTTGAGCACGTAGGTAGTACGGATAGACTGCATAGTATTTTAGCTATACGCAGTGCACTCGGCGTTAGGCGGACAATGGGAATATCGGGTTCTGCGGCGGAGTCCTGAGCCGCAAACAATTCTAATAAGGCTATCAATCTAACTTCCATGTAACAATCTAAGCGAGAACGAAAGCAAGCGGCCCATGAGAATCCTTTATGGTAACACCGGTAGTCGACGATGCGGCTCGTGGTAGCCTAGGAGGTGTCTTCTTTGGTGATTGGCCGCCCTACAGTCTTCGAGCCTCGTGTAGCCGAGCAAGGTGCGTGAGTTGGTAGCTTCTTGGTTACACCATCACACGAGATGACCCAGAGATGAGTGAGATATAGAATAGCTACCATACCCGCGCCGTCCACCTGCCGACCTATAGCACCCCGATTGGCCTACTGAAGCCATTCGTCACTTAAGACGGTAGTCTTTGGCGGGTCCCCGTGACCCGATCCCACGATCGGCACACGGTTAGTTTCCGAGGCCACGACCATACCGATGACACGGACCCAATCGTTGGTACGGTTCGATAGGCTATATATCATTTGTCAGAATTCGTCTCCTATTCGTATACACGCCGAGGCTCGCAAATTGCTAGAGGGGGCCGAACGGTTTGCCCCTCGGTATCTATAACTTACGCATGCATTATTCCGCGCTGAACTACGACATCACCTGGTTTGCACAGGGTTTCGACAAGCTCGCCATACGTACCACGCCCGTTGACCACATCAAATGGGCCAGGGGGGGTAATGAGGCTTAAAGTTCCACTCAACACGACAAGATAATCCGTAGATGTCGTACGGTGCACTACGCCTTCCATATTGGGCGCAATGTCTAGGTAGTACATATTAAGACCACCCGGAACTAGAAGAAACGCGTCAGGTCAGCAATTGCTATTTGTAGGAATTGTCAGAAGTGGAGTTCGACCCCTAAGACCTATCGTAGATGATGACAGCTTCTAGGCATAGCAGAATAGGCAACTTCCGCTTAGAACCGGGAGAGAAGGAAATAAGAGGGATACGAGGGCATACGTACGCACGATTCCGAGTCCCGGCACAGGATCCAATTCCAAATTTCCACTTGGTTGTTCGTCAGCTCTTTCTATTACCTGTGATACCACGGACTACATCGTTATAAGGAAAGGGAAATATAGAGCGAGACCCACTGTCCATCGTTGCCAGTTGGCAGTTTCTTGCTAGATGCCACTCTAGCCCTTCTTAATTCGCCGCCCATAATAGGTTCCGGTTCGAGTTTATCAACGCGGACTTCTACTCCGGGTTCCGAGTGCGGCTTCGAGGAGCCGGCCTCTAGAAGAGGGAGGTTGGAAGCAGTGATGCGACTGGGGGCGGATAGCTGGACTGGCGAGGACATTTTATGATTTGTTTTCGAGAGAACTAAAATTGAAAAGCAAAACAAGTTGGACCGAATCGTGTTTAGTTTAAGAGTCGTGGCGTTCAATGTGTATACCTAGATAGGTTTCGTAGAATTGCTTAATTTAGCTAGGCTTAGATACTTGATGAACATAATAGATATGATACTTTATATATACTGTCAAGGTATGAAATATATATAGCTGACTGAAGTGATTAGCTCCAGTTTAAGGAATAACGTAGATGACAAAGGTATACAATTAATCAGCAATAAATAGTTCTGAATAGCTTACCGATCAAGTAACATAGAGGGGATCCGCAGAAATGAGCCAGGATCGAATCCACGATGGAGCTAAACGCCGAGACCATCTTAAAGGAGTGAAATTTGATGATAAATCACTACGAATTAATACTAGTATCGACAATCAAGGAAGCAGTCATTTGTCAAGGAAACAAGGTATCGGGGAAACTTCTTGACGACGTAGCTAGGGCATTGTTGGGACGATCCCGTTATTATCAAGAACGTGCTACTAGACGAGCTACATTAGGTACGTAATGTGCAACAGTATCATGGCCGTGGATGTTATAAGACATGATGGCCTAGAAGAACCATAAGCAGCCGACGTAGGGAAGCTTAATGGGAAATAAACAAACGTACTGCTACCAAATTCGTAATCTCAGCCTCATATGAAGAATTCCTTGCCATGATCCGGTATTCCCTATTCCCTGCTAAACGCCCATCTACATGCAAAGAAAAAAAAGAGATCGGTTCTTTGGATTAGCGGTATCCCCTACCACGACTGCGCGAACGACTGCGACCTCGGAAGTTGTCATAGCTAGGACTACGTCGTCTATCATTATCGTAATCATTGTAGCTCTCTCTCTTTCCACCCCGTCTTCTCGGAGGAGACCGAGATCTAGATGCGTAAGAACCCGAAGGACTACGGTTACGGCGGGTAGGCGGAGATCGGGATCTCGAGTATGATCGCGGGCGGTAGGTGTCGAAGTTATCACGACCGGATCGACCAAAGCGCGGCGGCGAGCGTGGTGGCCTTCCTCCGCTGAATCCGCCTCCCCTTCCGCCTCCAGCTCTAGTAGAACCTCTAGGACCGGGCGCCGGGAGTCGAGGATCAATATTTGCGCCGCGGCTTGCAGTCGGGGGAGACGGCGAGAATTTGCGTCGAGGTAAAACGATAGAAACATTGATAACCGCACCATCAAGGACAGCTTCATGCATGTGGGCAATAGCCGCCTCGGCATCGGCCTCGTGGACGTAGAGGATGTAGGCTGTACCACGATTGGTATTGTCTATGAAAAGTTCAGCCATATGAGTACGGTGCAAGAAAAAGTGAAGCGCACGAATCCACTCACACCGTCGATTCACAGGCATATCTAAGTCTCTGATAGGGCCATACTGGCCAAAGATCTCGTGCAAGTGATCCTCATTGATGGTTTTTGTCAGTTTTTCGACGACGATCTAAATACAATATCAGAATTAGTATGGTATTTCGGAGTAATGATTGGTATAAATCACGCGATGATGGAGACGTGACGAGATATATTCAGAGCGAATTGACTGACCTTAGTACTGCCCCTAAGCGGACTCTCACTTCTACCCCGGTCATCACGATCACGACTTAAGCTTCTGCTCTCGCTGCGGAGCCTGCCGTTGCGACGGGGGGCAGGAGATGGCGATTTTGTAGGGGATCGACGTCGTCGAACTGGCGAAGGCGATCGAGAATAACGCGACTTGGGAGTCGGAGAACGCGACTCAAAACGGTCTCGGGAAGGCGATCGATAATCCATATTGAAGGATTATATTCGATATAGACAGAGAGATTAGTAGCCGGCTAGAACCAATTGAGTGCCTCGGGAAAATTGGTAAAAGGATTAGTCAGTAAAGGGTTGTAAGGCTAGAAGGCTGCGAAGATGGAAGCTATCGAAATTAAGAGTTGAAGCTTCAACAAAAGTTGCTAAGGCTGGAAAATCCCAGAATCGGTAAAGGTGGGTGTGAGTTACATTAGCGCGGCCCCATTAGCGCACTCTATGATATACCTAGGTTAGGTACCTGAGGTATCACCTATGTTGATATGCTGCAGAAGGTACCGCCCTCCTTCAATAGGTTACATGTAGGTACCTAACTCAGGTATTGTACATACATGTAATTGCACCTACGCTTCCTGCCTCAGGCGTTCTACATACCAGGTACGTAATCTAAATTTTGACTTCTAAAATAATATAAAATAACGTTACGGCACGTGGCATACGGAACACATCAGGTTTTTAGGTGCCCGATAAATACCTAGGTCAGGTACCTAGGTACCTAACCTAACTCAATAGATTCGAAATGCTAATGTACATAGGTACCTACCTACTAAGATCCATTACCACCCTTCTTTTCAACACCAGACATGTGATACTCTAATATTCGTATCTAAAATTAGGGTTCTCCCTATCCGTCAGGTCTTCAAAAGCGTGAGCCATCCTCTCGTCGTGAGCCTCGCTAATACCTGCCGCAGCTAGTTCATCCCGCTTCTTGTTCTGCCTTGACAGATAGAAGCGGAAGAACAAGAGGATAACAACAAGAAGAGCGTAGCAACCAAGATGGGTTGCAAATGCGGTATGATACTTGGGTGCCTCGCGTGATAGAAACACTTGGGGACCGATAGCGTTACCTGCCGACCAGAAGATGAAATTCGTAGCCACCACAACAGTCTTCTTGGTCTGGCCTCCAACATTACGAGACATCAGGGAGAGACCTAAGGTTTGCGCTGCCCAGAAAGATAAAGTGATGTAGTAGGATATAAGCAGTCCTACATGTTGCGCGAAGGTCTCGTTGGGCACGGTCATAAGCAAAATGGTACCCACGAATGATCTAGACACATCGTGTTAGTCGTGGTTACATCCTTAGATAGGTACTAACTGAAACTGGGATCATGCTACTTACGGAATAACGAAGCCCAGCATAGTCAAGATGTTCTGGTTAAACTTCTTCACCAGCCAAACCGAGCCTAGAAGCACTATGACGATGTAAAAGCCGAGGACCATAGCTAGAAGTTGCGTCTGAAGGTTGGTAAATCCTAGACTTCCAGAGATAATCAAGTTCGCAAACGCGCCGAGGCCGCTAGTTGGCAGAGTCGTGGTGAACTGAATTCCGGCGTAGCACCATGTCTGGGGGTCAGTCAATGCGTCCCAGACTTGTTCCTTTTTGAAAATTCGGTTCTGCAACCCAGTCTGATTATCTCGAACTCTTTCGACCATCAGATGCTTATCCTCTTCGCTAAAGCACTTGGCACGCATCGGGGAATCAGGCATCCACCAAAGGACGAAAAAGCCGAAGATGACGGAGATGATACCGTAAGCCATGAACAGCCACTGCCACGATCTGAGGGGGCCGTCCGTGATCAAAGTGAAGCAGTAGGCGAGGAGTCCGCCGACAATCTGCTGCGCGCCGTTCATCATATACCAGTAGGTAACCCTTGATGCTTGCTCTTCGCGTCTATACCACATAGCGGAGAGGATCACAAAAGCAGGTTGGCAAGCCGACTCGAACAGCCCCAGAAGCGTGCGGACGACTACCAACCCGACGAAATTTTTGCATGCTGCATGGCAAGCCAAAACGACACCCCACGCAATGATAGAAAAACCGAGGTACTTGGCGACGGGAACTCGGGCGATGATATAATTCTGAAATAGTTTTGCTGTCAGTATCACTCCCTGGCTCTGGCTCCCGTAACTAATTCAGAGGTTTGGGAACAACGATAGCGGGTCTTACCTGCGGGTACTCAACGACGAGGATGGTTATGTAGATACACGTAGTCAACCAAGAAAAGTCTTGGCTAACTTTTCCCTCGGGGGTAAGCATGCCGGTATCTTTCGGCAGGCCCATGATCGAAGAGAAGGACAGTGTGCCTTTGTCGATAGCTTGGAGGAAATATGTCGTGATCATCACGACCAAGATTCTCTTGTCGATCATTTTCCGTAGTCTGATGTTCTCCTCGGGCGTTATTTTGATGCGGATAGCCGACGAATATTTGGCGACTTCCTTGTCGACTTTGCCGTAGTCCGCATGATCTCCCTTACCCTCGATGTCTTCAGGCGCCGAGTGTGCTCGTTCTACCTCCGCCATTGAATACCTCTTCGCGGAATCGTCTTGGTGAGGTGACACGGGTTGGACCATCTCAGGGTCAGGCACCTTCGTAGACGACATCTTTATCTAGTGCGTTTGGAGTGATGTTCAGGAGGCCTCGGCGACTGCAGAGAGATGCACCACGCGGAAAAGGCTACCTGTGAGGATAAAAAAAGAAGGGAGATGGGGTTAAAAGTTTGAGTTGGGAGAACTATGGCATTTTTATGTATTCACGTCTCGTACCATTAACACACCGACACTATCGAGCACATAATGCGTAAGACTGCCTTGCATTGGCGCTGTGACATCGCAAGCGAACCATCCAAGGGGTCGATGGCCGACCATTCTATGAACTCTCATTTGTCTACATTGGCCTGGACTGGGAGCCACCTCCTCGGATTAGCACTAGGGACGGGGGTATAATGCAGGCCTATCATTTCAACGAATCATCTCAGAAATCAATACTTGACTATATTCAGCGAGCTAACAGCGCCCAGTTTAGTGCTAGGCTAGGTATTGCTAGGCTATCAGAAATAGAATCTGGGCAAATCTGGGCAAATCTGGGCAGTCTGGGGCTCCCTGGAGATCAGCTGGGGCAAGTTTCCCCAAAATCTGGGGGATGGGGATAAAAACCCCAAGGATAACAAATCTAACCTAGAGTCTTTCCGAACGCTAGACTTACTCAAAGCGAATAGCCCTGCCGTTCTCAACGGAGCTCCAACTTTTTCGGGAGAGATGAGCCTACGACCACCGGGGGTCTTCCCCTCAGCAAGCTAGCCTCGGTGCCAGCTAGACCGAAACCATTGCCCCGTCCAACAGGATCGGAGTCAAATTCCCCATTGAAGATCAGCTGCAGCTGCGTATTCCCAGAAACCGTGTTCCTTCGGTTTAGAAGATCCCCGTGCTGTTCTTCATCTGTTATATCTTATGAACAGTACTATATTGATTTTAGAGATTGGCATGAAATAGCGTGGGTATTACGACAAAGTGATATCCCGACAACTGGGGACATTCAAGGCGCTACGACACAATGTGGAGTACACCAAAAGAAGCACCATTATTGACTCCTCGTGAAAACGCTCCTCGAATTTCCTTCTTCCCTTGTTCTTAAAGGACGTCAGGCATTATTAAGTATTAGAGTGAAGCAAATTATTCGGTTCCTTTTTCTCTATACAGTATTAGACAAGGGATTAAGCAAGAGGATTAAGCAAGAAAATTAAGAGAGTCCTTGTCTATTATACTCCGGATATATTCATAGACGTAGTTGGACACCTTCTTCTTTAATTATCCTCTCGAGTTGCGGACATCTTGAGAGATAAGAAGTTTACCTTACCCAAGATGCCGGCGGAAATCCACGGGATCAAGTCCAGCGACGTCCACGCTAAGATCCAGCTCCTCATCGACGGGCTGGTGAACATCAAAGACCAGACGGGTGAATTCTTGTTAACGCTAGAAGATGGTCGCGTAATCGACACAAAAGGATGGAACGACTGGGAATGGACCCATGGTATTGGCCTTAACGGAATTTGGGCTTACTACTCGCTTACCGGAGATGAAAAATATCTCAAGATTATTGAAGATTGGTTTGCCAACCGATTCGCAGCCGGGGGCACTACTAAGAACATCAACACCATGGCTGTATTTTTAACACTGGCCTACGTATATGAGAAGACGGGAAACCAGACCTATCTCCCCTGGCTAGACAGCTGGGGAGAATGGGCATACCATGACCTGGAGAGAACCAAATATGGCGGCATGCAGCACATTACATATTTGGAGGTGAACGATCAGCAGCTATGGGATGACACGCTTATGATGACCGTCATGCCCCTAGCTAAGATTGGAAAGCTACTTAACAGGCCTCATTACGTCGACGAGGCGAAGCGGCAATTTCTCATCCACATAAAATACCTATTCGACACGAAGTCCGGGCTGTTCTTCCACGGCTGGACGTTCCACGACGGAGGCCACAATTTCGCGAACGCCTTATGGGCTAGGGGAAACGCATGGCTGACAATTGTGATCCCTGAATTCCTGGAATTGCTAGACCTACCCGCCAACGATCCGATTCGAAACCACCTTCTAGATACACTGAATGCGCAATGTGAATCCCTCAAGCCGCTGCAGACGTCATCGGGCTTGTGGCGCACGCTTCTCGATCAACCGGAGGAAGAAGGCTCTTACGTCGAGTCGAGCGCGACGGCGGGGTTTGCCTTTGGGATCCTCAAAGCACAGAGAAAGAAGTATATCGGGAAGGAGTATGAAGCCGTGGCCATTAAGGCTATACGGGCGGTGCTAGATAATGTTGACGCCGATGGAGAGCTCCTGAATACGTCTTTTGGTACGGGTATGGGTCACACGTTGCAGCATTACAAGGATATTCCAATTACGAGCATGCCGTACGGGCAGGCGATGGCCATCATGGCTCTAGTTGAGTTTCTAAGAGTATTTATCTAAACCGCAGATTATATCATATCCCCTGATGTGCAGGCAACGTGATTAACCCACCTAGTCAAGAAGAATTTTCTTCGCGAATTCTACCTCCTCAGCTGTCCCGCAGATCAGTCCTGCAGTTTCGTTCAGGCCTCCTAAAGGTCTTTCAAGTATATTCGTCCCGTCAGCCGGGTCGATCGCGGTCCCGCCAGCACACTCGACTATCAGCGCGAGAGGGAACAGTTCATATAAACGTCGTAATTTAGCCTTGCTAGTCGAAGTCACGGGCGATATATATATTCCGTGACCCTTTACTAACGTATGAACCACATCTGGAACAAGACCGCCGCTATACCGCAGCGTATATTTGTTCTGTATATAGTGCGTAATTAGACTCATGTACTTCTCGTCGTCCGCTGCTGCGCGGAGATTTGCGGGGGCGAAGTAACGGGTTTTATATGGCGATTCTGCTAGTCGAACGGCAGACCGGATGACTTCAATTTCACCATTGTGGACTCTGTTTTCACTGAGTCCCAGTTCGAGGCATGCTGGCTCGGAGCCTGGGACGCGTAGCGCAATAATGACTATGGTACGTGGTCCGTAGACACCGAGCACAGATGCCACCAATTTGCTTGCGGGTGGTTGGCCGAGTGCTGTCTTCCCTTGCCAAACACCAATAATTGTACCGACAGTCCAATTCGGTGCTATTATAGAGCTGCCATCCAGAGGATCAAACGCAACCGTATAATTCTCCTCGGGAATATTGCCGACGGAGGCTTCCTGGATTTGAACATGTCGTTCGACCGGGTCCTCCTCGCTACTGGCGGTCACAACAAAAGGACAGCGCGAAATGGCCTCTCGGATGCTATTCTCGGCCAATACATCCACATTCAATTGATCATCACCGAAGGCATTCGCGCTGCCCGCATGCGAGACATGATGTGACGTCCTGAGCGATATGGCAATGTCTGAGATGCAGTTAATCAAGGTCGGCAGTACCGAATCGATCAATCCCTTATGCGCCTGCGAGGGGATGGCAGAACGCAGCTGATGCGTTAAGTCGGAGTCGGTCATATCTCTTCGATAATTGAAAGAGTTCCAAAGTCCAGACCGTCTTATTCAAAGAGAGTGTTATTATTAAAGCCTCGTTCTTCTGATCGAACTCTAAGGGGATTTTTAGCCCTCAAAATAAAATCAATATGCAATTAACGGGTCACTAGCTTGATGCCGATCCTCTCCAGCCATTATTCCAGCCATTATCGTGTTACCTGAGATTGGAGTTGAAGAATAAGACATTTGATGATATTAATCATCGAGACTTGGTGTTGTAGCCCCAAGTCTATGTATTCACTTCGAATATAGCTTAGAGACGTACTACTTAGGATGATTACTTCGATAGCATACCTATCTATAATATATATACCTACTTAAACTACCTAAGTACACACGTACATAGGTAGCAAGGGCGAATGTTAATCATCAACCAACATATTTCGTATGCAACGGTTAGAACGTAGAGGGTAAATGATCTTACAAAAAGTAGGTAAGCGTGAAGTTCGAGGAGGCATATATCCTATTAGCTTAGCTCTAGCTGCCAAAATTCTAGATGAGACATCTAGATCAAAGGACATGTTCAGTATGTATAGACTCAGACTCTCGTAGATAGATTAGAGTTCCTTGCGGAACAACGAAGTTGTTTCTCTACTGTTTGGTTATACCTCGTGACACTGGCTAGAAAGTGAATAGTATATCAACCGATGGTATCCACGGTATGAAGAATGGAAACTCTTGGTGTTATCGAAAAGACATTTCCGAGATCCGGTATCCGAGATCCGATATACTGACTCATCTGAACCCCTTTCCCTAGTTTGCTTTTAAATACGTGATCACCTCGTAGACAATTGTCGTATTATTTTACTTTTACGTAAATATATACCCAAAGTTCACGCTTCAGCTATTCAACTCTTCATAATGCCAGGTCGTACTCAGCCTTTACTGGATTGCAATGAGAGATCTTCAGATCATTATGGCCTACTCCATGGCTATTCCGTCTCAAGAAACGGATTCCTACCAGAGCGAGAACCCCTAAGCCGCCTACCACACCACTATTATACCCCATGGGAGTCTATACTGGATGATCTCCCATCACTGCTAAGCAGCGGGTCGATCCGAAAGGCTGTAAATTCCATCGGGGTTCTTTCGACGAGCAAGCTACACACAGAAGAAGAATGGCAACGAGCTTACGTAGTATTATCATTCTTAGCACACGGATATATCTGGGGCGGAGAGAGGGCATCAGAGGTATAACCGATCTTAATGGACTTACTATACATGTGGCTAATAAGCGATTAGGTACTTCCTCCGGCGATATCAGTACCATTTCTTCAAGTTTCGGAACACCTCCGCCTTCCGCCGGTTGCGACGTATGCTGCTCTTAACCTATGGAACTTTACCTGTAGCGGGCCCGACTTTCGAGATCTTGACAAGCTAAAAGCCTTGCATACATTCAGCGGCACAGAGGACGAGTCGTGGTTCTACTCGGTGTCAGTAGCAATGGAAGCGGAAGGCGCCTACATAATTCCAACCATGCTCCAAGCACTCGAAGCGACCCAACATCGAGATTATTCGACAATAATCAGAGCATTAGACCAGCTAAAGATCTGCATTGGGAAACTTGGCAGACTACTCGATCGTATGGACGAGAAGTGCGACCCGATGGTCTTTTACCACCAGATTCGTCCGTATCTAGCTGGAAGTAAGAATATGGCTGCTTCAGGTCTCCCCAACGGTGTCTTATACGAAGACGGGAACGGGACACTCTGTTGGAAGCAGCTGGGAGGTGGCAGCAACGGACAAAGCTCGCTTATTCAATTCCTCGATATCGTCCTTGGAGTCAAACATACTTCATCCGGCTGTAGTGCGCGTACAAATGCGGTATCGACTTCAAGGACGAGCGAAACCGCAACAAGTTTCCACGAAGAGGTCCGCTCCTATATGCCAGCACCGCATAGCGCATTCTTAGAACACGTCTCACAAATGGGCAGTATAAAGGAGCTCGCGAGCGAACAAGGTGGCTCGGACAAACAAGAACAGATGCAGCGATCTTTTCAAGCTGCTACCAGAGCTCTTGGAGACTTTCGCAATAGACATATGCAAATCGTGACGCGATACATTATTATACCATCGAGAAAACAGAGCCAAGGCCGGGTAGTGAATCTGGCTACGGCATCATCGCGATCAAACGATGGTTCAGAAAGACAATTGACTGGGACCGGGGGGACGGCATTGATACCGTTTCTAAAACAAACACGTGATGAAACGTATCTGGCGGGAATTATGACGCGAAAGACATGAATACGGGTAGAATTAGGTAGGTAGGTAGGTACCTAGGTTAGGTAGCTTGTGTTCGTAGACTAAAGATACCTTGTAAGCTGTACCAAAAATTCGGATGTGAAGTAGTGAAGGGAAGAATAGAAGGAAGCTCGGATATCAGAGGCAACTTCATTGTAAAGCGGTGAGGCCCCCCCCCTTTTTTTTCCCCTCCGGCTTCCGAAGTTCCGACATCCGGTTCTAACAAGGTCATTATGTCTTAAGTCCAAGTCTTTAACCTAACACAATTATATGCCACTTTCGATATTGACGTATAACTAAATAAAATGCCAATGTCTTCTCCAATGATTCGCACGCGGATCGCTAATGCTTGCGATGCGTGTAAACAGCGTAAAGGTAGGTACCCACCTAAGGCATACAATATATGCATTCTCCTATTCGTCTATTTATCTACCTGGTACCTATCTATCCGCCCAAGAGACGTCCTATAAATGTAATTCTACATATAATTAACCGTTTCGTAGTCAAATGCGACGGGAACTTGCCTTGTAGTTACTGTAAGCGTCGGCAGGGACATTCGACATGTCGGTTTTCTCCTACGCCTCGTCGTCGACCGAGGAGACCGCATTTGCCTTCTCCAAAGACATCCGTGACCCAATCATCCGTTCCGTCAGTAGGGTCGGATGTATCTCCCGATGTTCCCGTTTCTTCGGCTGAACCGTCTTGCATTCATACCGCTCACACCTCTACTCATACTCGCACGTCGGATGATATCACTCTTCGCAGCGACGTCTCCGCCGAGGAAGAAGCCGATGTGCCCCGCGAAGCCCGTTTGTTGCGCGATGCTCATGGAAAACTAAGTATGCATACAGTTTCAAATCCCTTCTCGGAAAGACTTGTAAATCAACTAATAGGTAAACTCAGCTTTCGTCGGAGACTGCGCGCCTCTCTCTCTTTTCCAGACGGTTCGCCAGATAGTGACATCTCGGGTAGATCCGAATGCCTTCACTCCACAAACAGGGCAAACGGGTCGGGTTTCAATGTTGGAAAACTCTTCTTCCTACCTGTCATTTTCGGCTATCGGCGAGGAACCACATGTAGACTCTACTATTGCCGGACAGCTAGTGTCATCGTTTATATCAGTGGTAACTTCGATGCATCATTTATCGAGTATTTGGTGTAAATCATTGTCTAACCCCTATTGCAGACCTCTGGACTAGTCAATCTCTTTGAGAATGAAAATCTTGCAAGCAATATATCGGCCTGGATTGCTAAAGAAGGAGAATCCGCCGACGCAACATCCGCAGTCAATTACTTAGTTTTGGCTATCGGTTCGCAGTCTATCAATGAAGAATCCGCTGCTAGATTCTTTCAATATGCGAAGACCCTAGCCCTATCATACCTCGGTGGCGATTTAGGGATTGAGACAGTTCAAGCTTTCGCCCTTGTGACCATATATATGCTTCGAGCATGTCAGATTAACGGGGCTTATCTTTTCTTCGGTAAGTTACATAGCAGAATACTAAATCCTCGTAGCTAAGCGTCAAAGGCATTGCTGCGCGGGCGGCGTACTCGATTGGCCTGCATAGAACGGAAGTAAATACTCGGTTCGGATCTAATACGCACACTCAAAGGTATGATCCCCGTGGCAATACATTACTGCTGATTTTACTAACGGTAATAGAGACCGCCTTTGGAAGAGTTTGCGAGTTCTGGATTTATTTCTAAGCATATCTATGGGTAGGCCACCATCTATGTCAGACGTAGACTGCACGGTGCCTTGTCAAACATTTAACGCCAACGGCCAAGAGCAGTACGATCTTTTGAATGCCTCGGTACAGATACTCTCGATTACCGAAGAAATTGTGCTCCGAGTGTATTCCAGAAGAAAAATTTCATTTCAACTTACCGAGGGAATCTCCCGCCAACTTCGAGGTTGGTCACGTAGGTGGCTCCCTCGCCTCAAACAAACTATTACAGAATCATCACGAGAGGATGAAGTGGAGATCATCGGCGCGTGTCAAGTCATGTCTTCTTATTATTATGCCGTTATGCTAGTTGCGAGGCCTTTTCTCATGTACGAGTTGTATAAGCGCCTCCCTGATCCGAACATCCCTACTGTGACCAATCTGCCCAATGGTGGTAGCGACAACTCAGGGAGAACAAGGCTCGCAAATGCATGTATCGATGCAGCAAGTTTGATGGCTGGGTTAATTGCGGACTTGGTAAACCGGAAGATCCTAGACGGACGCATGCCGTTGATAGTGTAAGACAACCACCCACAATCCTTCATCTCATACTAACCCGCTGGAAGCTCATGGCTTTTTGCTTCATCCTTAGTGCTTGGTGTTGGCCTCCTTGGAGGGTTTGGACGAATACTCGAAAAGTACGCCCGAATGTCTATTGCTGGGTTGGAATATTTTGCGAGGAGCGATGCGCATGCTCTGCAATACTCGCTTATTGCCAAGTCTTTACTATCTAGCGCTCTAAAGCACCTCCAGAAGCAAGACGTCGACGAACGTCTTCGAATCACAGAGAGTTCGTCTAAGCTATTTGGATTAGTGCCAAAAGAGCGACTGCCCCAGGAGGACACCCTCCCTAACGATACTAGCCAGCCCGGGATTCTTCCATCAAACATGAAATCAGTCAATGTGCCTCAAGATTTACTAACGCACGAGCTATTCACTTCACCTTTCCACGACATTGATCCGGCCCTTCTATCATTAGGATGTTCGCTTGATTCCACCGCCGGCGCTTTTCTAGGTAGAGACCAGCAGGATCGGATCAACCACGTTTTCGGCGCCCTCAACCTATTCCCCTTATTGGACGGAAATGGCCATATAGATCTCGTGCATAACCTTTAAACGTTCCTCCTCGTGGGCATGAAAAAAAGAGAGTTACCAACAAAGCAGCTTCTACCCTATCTGTTTCAGTCTAGGGTTCGGCGATCATGACTTCTATGTTTCTCAAACTACGAAACACGTCGCGTCAAATGAACGCGGCCCAAATGGATGATACAAGTAACGGAAAAGCCCCCGAGTGAGAAATCCATCAGCTTCACCATAATCAAACTACCAAGAACAGAAGTCGCAAAACCGTTTTATCGACTTATTACTTCACAACCCTCAGTAACATCTTCCCCGAATGCATGAAGAATATTAGGGAATAATTAGATGTCGAAGCTGAGCTTGAGTTATTCATCGGTACACCGAGATCTTTAGACATGACGGGAGATACTATCCTAGGCACTAGTCAATAAACTTCCGAGTTACATTTCGGAAACGACTTTAACATAAATCTATGTCGAGAATGTCTGTCCACCTACGTTAGGCAACTGATATAAGCTATTATTCGCTTCCTGCACACTAATGAAAAAAAAAAAAAAAAAAAAAAAAAAAAAGCCATTGGAACAAGAAGAATAGACGTGTAGAAATATGCATAGTACGGGATATTTACATAAAAGTTACGTAGGTCATAAATGCTCTGCATTCGTTGACGTCATCAGAACTGAGATTCCAGAGTATACAAGTCTTCTTCTCTCTATTTTGACTTGACAACTAAATTTGAAGCTATATGTAAAAATATAGCCGACAAAAATCACGTTTGTCACAAGATGCCTATAGATTACCAAGGTACGAAAGTTCCAACATGTTATGCTACTTGCAGTATCGGACATAAGGAGTCTCACACGCTTCCCTTGAAGCTTAAGGCAATAGCGGATGCCGGATTCGACGCCATCGAACTATCTATGCCCGATATCTTGGCTTATGGTAAGATGCTCTATGGTCAGGAACTTGACCCTAAAGATTACGACGCACTAGTCGAGATTGCAAAGGCGATCAGAACGCAGGCGGAAGAGCATAAGCTCAAGATTTTGATGCTGCAGCCTTTTGCCAACTTCGAAGGCTGGCCAAAAGATAGCAAGGCGAGAAAGGACGCGTTTGAGCGTACCGAAGGTTGGATGCGTATCATGGAAGCTGTAGGCACAGATATGTTGCAAGTAGGATCATCCGACGCGCCCGGGATATCGTCGTCTATTGATGACTTAGCCGGCGACTTAGCCGAGCTGGCGGATATGTGCGCCGCCAAAGGGCAGCGCATCGCGTATGAGAACTGGTGCTGGGCTACGCACTCTCCGAGCTGGAGAGACGTATGGCGTATCGTCGAGAAGGCCGACCGGCCAAATCTCGGTCTATGTCTAGATACCTTCCAGAGCGGTGGCGGCGAGTGGGCAGACCCGACTACAAAATCCGGATTAGTTGAGGATATCTCACGGGATGATCTCGAAGCCAAATGGAAGCAGAGCCTGGCCGAACTAAGCAGAACAGTCCCGCCCGAGAAAATCTATCTCTTACAGATTTCGGATGCCTACAAGATGGAACCCCCCATAGAAGCAAAGGCCAACAAGGAAGGGTTGCGACCAAGGGGCCAGTGGAGCCATGATTACCGACCGTTACCTTACGATGGGGGCTATCTTCCTGTTCAAGACTTTCTAAAGGCTGTACTTGGGACTGGGTTTAGAGGCTGGTTGTCTATCGAAGTGTTTGATGGTAAGGGACCTGAGAAGTACTCCGATATGCTTGAAATTAGCAAGAAGGCCATGTCTTCACTGTCGATGCTATTAGTGGCATGATGCAATTGGAATAGAGATATTGCATACCATGTGAGACTAGCTGTTATATATTCATCAATGGATAAATAAACCCGTGTGCTAATTATAGGTATTAGATATAAGATCAAAGTTATACAAGGACAAAAGATATTGAAGCGCCTTGTTCTTAGCCATATCTTCTTAGACTCTTTACTGGATTAAGAATAATATAGTACATAGTTTCGAAGAGCTGAATGTTCCTCGTCACAATTCCAAACTGTTATTGGAGTTTATGTATGGGTCACTATGGATTTGAAGAGGCTTAGGACCGAAGCTTGCTTAACCGACTTCGCGGATGTAATAAATAAGAGTACTGGAAACCATTCAGCAAAACTAGAACTATTAAACAAACTTACCTTGGTGAATTAACTTCTTGTATCATGTCATAGTACTAAAGTTGTCGCAATACTTCCCTGCCTACCTTAGGTACATACCTAAATCTAGAACCCTACGACGCCACACAACGTCATCAACTGTGTCGTCAATTAGAGGTGCACTAATATGATCTACCTACTAGACACCCAACCCGAAGTTAAATGAGAAATAAGAAAAAAGCTCATGCTATTTATCAACGTCAGCCTCTCATCGTTTACGTGAAGATGACCCAGTCGCAATCGAACATCTCCCAGTTGAAAGATTTCTTGTCTTATTTAGTAACCGTTAAAGGTGACCTTTCAAATATCACCGCTCCGCCCTTCACCCTTTCACCCAAGTCGGTAGTAGAGATACCGGCCTCTTGGGCTGAGCGTCATGATTTATTTGTGCAGCCAGCACAGGAGAAGGACCCTGCGAGACGTTCTCTTTTAGTTCTCAAGAACTTCCTCTGTAGTCTTAAGCGCCAGGTCTATACGGCGACCGCTTCTAAAGAGTGTTCCGACGGCGACTGCGGCGACTGCGGCGACGACCAAGTCAAGAAACCGCTTAATGCGTTTCTAGGCGAACTCTTCCTAGGCACTTTCGAAGGGGACGACGGAAGCACGACGAGATTGATATGTGAGCAAGTATCACATCATCCACCAGTGACGGCCTGCTGCCTATATAACGAAGTCCACGGCATCTCATCTTCGGGCTACGTAGCACAAGAGATAACTTTTAATCCCGCTTCGGGTGTCCGGGTGAAGCAAATTGGACACGCGATCATCCGTGATGAAGCTCACGGCGAAAGCCATCTAATGACGCTGCCGACCATAGTGATAAAGGGGTTAGTAGTCGGGCGGCCGTACCCTGAACTAGAAGGCACCTGTTACATATCATCAAGCTCGGGATACCTCGCAACTATTGATTTCCAAGGTAAGGGCCTACTAGGATCTGGAAAGAAGAATAGCGTGCATGCCGAGATTTCTAATGTTCGGGACGAGGGCAGGATGATGTTCGAAGTCACTGGTCAATGGAACGACCGACTTACGATCATAGATAGTACGAATGGGAAACAAATCGATGATTTCTACGTCGACGACGTGTCTCTCACGGAGCTTCAAACCAAACCCCTCGAAGAGCAAAGCTCCTGGGAATCGAGAAAAGCGTGGGACAAGGTGGCGGAAGGGATCGGTGCCGGAAGTATGCATGTCGTTGGCGACGAGAAGAGTGCGATCGAAAATGCACAGCGGGAGATGCGTGCAGCCGAGGAAAGCACTGGCGTCGAATGGCCGAGACTATTCTTCCAGAATCCGGACGATGACAAGGAGTTTGCCCTCTTAGCTAAGACTATTCCAGATCAGACGGCCAGGAATCTTAACCAAGAGAGGACGGCCGGGGTATGGAAGTTCATCGGGGTCGGCGCAGCTGAGGCTCTGCTCTCGGATGGAATCTTTCACAGGTCGTTGGCACCAACGGGACAAACAGAAGATTGTTGATCCCAGGATCGGAATTGTGGACGAGAAGGTATTCCGGGCAATACTATTTGATACTACGATGTACTATACATGGACTTGTAATTCAAGACTTCCACCTCACGATAGGAGCTTGAAGGTCGTCCTCGCTAGTATAATACTATGTTACCAACTATGCAATTATTCGCTCTGGCAATAATATCGGAATTGGAGAAGTATGCAACATAGAAATACACAATAACTACCTAACTAGCCTTAAAAGGCATAGGTATCGTAGGGATGTCTTAGTGGGGAATTCTTGTCTCGACGCCTCCCTTCGCAAAGTTGTACGTTAAGCGTTAGGTATCGATAATAGCGCTTGGGCTGTGATATGTCGACTCTTATCTGGTAAACACAGGGGTCGGAAATTGAACATGTAAGGCACATCACATCATTGTAGTGATCGACGTCAGGCATAAAATCGGAAGTAAAAGCCAAGAATTCTCACCGCCCAAATTTTAGTTTACTTGGCTATGTATTTCTTTGCTTGGTATTGTACTTTACTAATTTGAGGCAGAGAGACTAGCCTCTGTTGCCGGGTCAAGAAACTGGCATATCGTAAATATAGATATTCTTAGTTGCTTGTTTACATACATGCGGAGTTATCTAGCCTCGGAGGTGTTTATTTAACGTACCTAGTTACTTGTTCCACAGCTTATCGTCACATATGTAGGTCTGAACGAATGATAGACGGTGACGCTAGGGAGTCTTTAGAAGGCGTGCTAGCTAGGATTCCCAATGATGGGATCGTACCTAACTGCCTCGTTAAATTAGACACGAGGTCTGGTACGGGATCGTCGGCGTGGATTATTCAGAATACTAGGATCAGTTAACATAGTATGATAAGAATAAAAACAAGCTTTATATACCTACCTAAGCTTGGTATGTAGTCACCTTGCAAATTACTGTAATCCGTACAGCTGCATTTATTATTCATTATTATTCATTTATTATGTCAACATGTTCCATTGCAGCTCTTATACCTATAGGTAACTTAGCCACCCAAGGTATATAATATAGTACATACTTATATATATCTACCTGGTAATATGTATGCGTAGCCCCCAAGTTCCGGATCGCTTCATGCCGTGCCACCATCCCCCCCTGGCCTCTCCATCTCCATCTCTCAATCAAGATCTTGCCCCCATCGGTTAAAGCGAGAGCCGCGTCACCTACCTAAACAGGTAACTTAATCCATAAGAGATTGGAGAGTCGTGCGCGGCGCGGGGATGATTATATGTCCTGGTTATGTATAAGTTCGTATATGTCTACGCGTCGAGCTCTGTTATGTTATCACTGCCCGCCTTCACTTATCTTCGTGTGCCTGTCAAAGAGGTCAAGATAGTAGGCAATAGAAGCAGTAGTAGGTAGTCGACAACCATGAAGTCTTCCGCTGTCAGCGCATTGGCGCTCGTTTCTCTGGCAAACTGCTCTAGAAAAGCTTGCATAGATACTAACACAACAAGTACAGCGACGACGACGACGGCAACAGCGAGTCCTACAGAACCGTGCGCCATTGTGAGTGCCTCTTGGGCTGCTCAGATTAGCGCTACTCCCACACCTACCATCGAGGCGTCAATCGCGTACGAGTGTCTCAACTCGGTCCCAATTGATAAAGATGCCGCTCTCAAATTCGTCAATGAGCTAGAGCCGTATGTCGAGTGGCAGTCCGACACCGCCTTTAAGAAAAATCCGCCAGCCGACTATTTTTATCCTCCTACGGATCTTTGGGCAACGATAGCTGACGTGAAGGCTGGCATTACCGCAGACAAATACCCCAACGAATATGCCTGGCAGTCAGACCTGTACACCAGACTCTTCGGACCAGCACACGACGGCCACTTTGTAGTTTACCCGGATGCCTTGTCTAGCGCCCTTGAGTGGCAGAGACCATTCGCCTTGGTGTCGGTTAGCGAGGAGGGCCCTGACGGATCTGCGCCGGTTATCAAGGTGTATAACGATGTTGTTTCTGGCGTAGAGACAGCGTCTGCGGTGAAGCTCATCAACGGAGTAGACGCTGCCACTTATATCGGGGATTGGATTTACCAGGCTTCTGGTAACCAGGATGCCGACGCCGCCTACAACTCCATGTTTTTCGAAAAGGCATTCGTGGCTGAGAATAAGAACCAAGGGTATTTCCAGACGGGAGGTCGTGTAAGGTATGAGATTTATGAAAGCGACTTGGCTGTATCTTAAAATCAAGTTAACAATTGTTCAGATATATCTATCCCGGCAACATCACCTCATTCACATTTGAGAATGGAACGGTGCTTGACCTACCGAACCTAGCGAGGTTGAAGAATTCCTGGGCGGGCGTCGTTGATGGCCCATCCTTCTTTAAGACTTTCTGCTCCGGTGCAACTCTTCAAGCCCAGGCCGCTTCGACGACTTCGTCCGCGACCGCGGCCACGAGTGCAGTCGTAGGATACCCCGATCCTGTCATTATTTCTGGTGATTCTTCTATCTCTGGTTATTTCATTGATCAGCCCGGCTTTGAAGATGTAGCAGTTCTTGTTATGCTCTCTTTTTCGCCTGAAGACCCGGTTGAGTTCCAGCGCGTCGCCCAGGACTTCTACGCAGCTGCGGTGGAAGCGGGCAAGAAGAAGCTTGTCGTCGACGTGCAGGCCAACGGCGGTGGTTATATTTTCCTCGGATATGATGGTTTCCGCCAGCTGTTCCCGGATATAGTCCAGGAGGGATTGGGACGATGGCGGCAGCACCCTGGGTTTGCGGCTATCTCTACAGTGTTTTCGGATATCTCTGCCGACTTCGACCCGAATACTGCCCCTGCCGAAATTGTCAACGCATACGAGTCTGTATTCAACTGGCGATATGACCTCAACATCACGGACGGAAACTTCACGTCATACGAGGACAAATTTGCACCACAAGAGTTCGGCGGCGATACTTACACGGACCTCATGCAGTGGAACTTCAACGACCCCCTGAGTACGAGTAATGGGACCTTCGGCTTCGGGACTGATATCACGGGCTACCGTAGTCGTCAGAACTTTACGCGCCCGTTCGGTGGGCCCGAGAATATTGTACTCCTGCTCGATGGGTACTGCGCGTCAACATGCACTTTATTCGCCGAATTCCTTAGGTCTAATGCGGGTGTGAAGAGCATAGCCATGGGCGGACGGCCGACCAAGAAAGGTCTTATTCAGGGCGTCGGTGGAGTGAAGGGATCGCAGAGCTACGGTTTCGACGACGTCTATTCGCAGGCCCTTACGGCCCGAAAATATACGAATGATTCGGCCATCCTTGAGACGCTAGGCAAGTATACGACGTACGTCACCGAACGCAGTACGGCAGCCAGCCTCAACGTCAAAGACCAGATCCTCCGTGGTAATCTTGAGGATGGTATTCCCGCACAATTCGTCGTCGAGGAATCTGACTGCCGGCTCTGGTGGACAGCGCCCATGGTTACCGACATTACCGAACAATGGAAAGCGGCCGCGACAGCAGCTTTCAAAGGTGGCAAGTGTGCTTACGGTGCTATCGACTCTTCGACAAACCAAACCACGACCAAGAGGACAACATCTGCCCATGCTCCTGCCCCCTTTGACAAGCCGCGATTCACCGTTCCGATCAAAATAGGGACCTCAGTCCCGCCTAAGAAGCGGGACGTTGGGCAGAAGAGCGCCATCTTCATGGCCAATCAGTTTATGAAGGCGGTAGACTAGAAATTTCTGTCGCGGCTATTACGATATAATATCACACCTGTCATTATTACTGTTGACCCCACACCTGGATGTAATGTAGGCTAGTTGACTAGGTAAATAATGGTTTAGGGTGTGCTTAAGGGGGGATACTGAACTTTATAATATAACCTAGTAAAGCACGAAAGTACATACATCATGTAATAAGAAGGGTGTGACATTGTGACATACTTGTACTGATTATAGGTTAGAAGGGACACGAGCTACATACCAACACACCTCGCATGTATGTACCTAAGATATACGAATCGTATGTAGCCACTAGCTTACCTTGGGCAGCCTTTAGACCACAGACTCAGGAGGGAAGAAGTTCATATTTCCCGACTCCCCACTCCCGTCTCTTAAGTCTATCGACAGTTTCTTCCGTTACGCGATTCGCTTGTGCCGCAGAAGGAAGACTGTTCGTCGAAACCCAACCAATAAATTCGAGTCCTTTGCGCTGTGACGGAAGAAGGATACGGGGGTGGACGAGTGATGAATATGTTCACCATCACCAACACCGACACCAACACCAACATCTACTCTCTGATGACCCCAACATCATGCCAGGATCTGCAGGCTTCTTATTCTTCCAGGGAACTACTTGCAGCTTAACGCAATGAAGTGGGGGTTGCTTGAGCATATTCACGGATCTAATTACGATTCTCGGCGGACGGCGCCGGCGCTCCTCTTAACCCATCTCCTTAGCTTAAGCATTCGTTAATCCCTTTTCCCCGTCGTCCTCCAGTACAAGTCTTGGGAGGAAGTCTCTACTTCTGTTTTTGGTCTCGCCTGCATCGATCCGCCACATCAAGCCCACGATCTTGTTGTGCTCGGATGGTGGACATGATGCTTACGGGTGTGGTTATGAGTGGTTATGGGTGGTTATGGGTGGTTATGGTTACACCACTCTTCCCTTCCCGCAGCTAGTCGTAGATCCTTAGGGCTTCCAAGGGTGGGAGTCTTGCGTAAAAAAGATTACAGAGTTACTATGTAATAATATCATTACATGCGGAAAATACTTTTAGATGGGTGGATGCTTGATGACTGCTTGTGGATTAGATCTCGTCTTAAGCACACACATCTTATGAACTCAACACCCCACCCCCAAAACGATCAACTTGAGGCACGAGGCTAAAATCAGCCCTACATCTATCTACAAGCGTTAGCTTCAACTCATCAATATAGGAACACGCAGACGTTCAGTGTCATCCACGTGGTCGTATGGTCACACGGAGCACATGCGCGTTCTATATACGACCATGTTACAGTTAATACCGTCTCGCATCAAGGGCTTGGTCTCTACGTCTAACATCTACCCAACTTAACCACCAACTCAAGTAAACATGATGCCCTAGGGGTTTATCGTGAAGTGACTATAAAAATGTTACTATGAATCATCACGATTTCTTTCTGGAACAAAACCCTATCAGGGGTCATCGCTGTCGGTTATGTATGTATCATGTATCTAACCGAACTAAGATATATATGCTTGAAAATACTGGGGCCCTTAATGCCAGGGTCGATACATTATATACGAGTCAATGTCAAAGAAATGCCAGTCACCGCTATCCACCGATGGACATCATAAGGTTGCATTAGGGGGTTGTTTGGCCATGGTAAGCCCCCAAGCCTTCGGCGCTTACTGGTTGACGTCCCTGCAGGGACAAGGGCACAGAACCACTACATGCGCGCTTCAAGAAAAAAAAAAGTCTAGAAGACAAGAAAATCACCCTGCAGTTACAATGCGGTTACAATACCTCTCTACGTACGGTCACGTCTACTAGATGAGTTGGACGTCCGATAACACAACACACTCCCTCATGTCACTTGGTGGTCCTCTCAACTAAACTACATCATCGTTCACGCGGATAGCTAGGGCCGAACTGTCAGTATAGCAGGATGCGCCTCGACCCGGCATGTCCCGCTCTCGAGCCAGTAGGAATCGGACCGTTCTAGCCTATCCACATACCGTTCTTCCCCAGAGTGGACTCTTTCTGCAAAGCACGCACTGCAAATGCAACTTGGACTGCAGCATTTGTTGCACTTCTTAATATTATCCTGTCGCAGGTGGGATCCATCAGCTACCTTCATGTACGTTCCGGGATTCCCCTGTGTAGGAGGGCTCGTCCAGGTTCAGGATCAGGTTCTACGCTGTCTACCTTATGTATACTTGGTGCAGCGACTTGCGGCTTTTGGCATACTTAATCGAATAAGATGGGGGTTACTGAGATCTGACCACCTGAGTCCCAAGCCTTAGCCGACGTGGTTCGGCTCGCAAGACGCCTTCGGGGTGGTGCAAAGGCAGGACTTGCCGAGTACCGGCGACCGATGTGTTGGTTCAGCGTGCCGATAGATGTAATTATGCCGTCGCTCACTGGACGTTCAGTTTAATCTGTAATTCAGTACGAATGCTGACGAGCAGTGTCTCTAAACGGTAGACTAGCTGTGCTGGAACCCCAACGCAGGACTGTGGTAGAAGCGGTGGATCCACCGGCATTTGCACCGTCTAAGACGATATCCCGAAGAGAAGAGGACACCGCGCGCAATGAGATATCAGGACGGCATGCTCGCTCTCATACATAATATAAGGCATTATTCGAGCATGACAAGTGAAGAAAGGAGTTAGCTATCTAAAAAATTCAGTCGACAAAAGCCTTAGACATGAGTCGTTCATCGAGAAAGGAGGCGGAGGCGAGGGAGATGAGCCAACACGAGGTAGGCGAAGAAAATTTCCAGACATTTACTTACTTTTAAATAACTCAGCACTTCAGGGCGAACACGCTATAGAGGACAGCAGCGATTCTAGTTTGGATATTGATGCTGTAGACCCAAGACTAAAAGACATGCCATTCATCGAAGCTTTTGGTCACCGCTATCATATCTCTGGCAAAATATTTCTACCTTTCGACAAGAACGAGCTGGAGAGGATGGAAATTCAACACAAGCTATACAGGCACTGCTTGGACGGAGCCTTGACTTCCACGCGGCTACCACTGCATACAACTCAAATACTAGACCTAGGTACCGGAACCGGCGTCTGGGCTATAGAGATGGCAGCCCGTTACCCCCAAGCCCAAATAACTGGAGTAGACGTCTACCCTATACAAAGAAGGGGAGGGATACCGCCGAACGTCAAGTTCGAGATCGACGACGTAGAAAACCCGTGGAAATACCCGGATAACACGTTCGACTTCATCCACGCGCGGAGCATGGCCGGCGGTGTGCGGGATTGGCCGGCGCTATTTCGCCAGGTATACAACAAGCTGAAGCCGGGTGGGCTTTTCGAGATGACGGAGATCGCCCTTAATATTTTCGACTTTGACGGCAAGTTCGCAGAGGCGGAAATGTGCCCCGAGTTTCTACAGATTTGTCGAGACTTATACAAAGAGGTCGATATGGATTTTAACCCGTCACCGTACGTCCCTGACTGGCTAGTCGAGATCGATTTTGAGAAGGTGGTCCAGCGGAGCGAGATACTTCCGCTCGGTAACTGGGCACAAGACGAGAAAATGAAGACACGCCAGAGTTTAGTGAACAAGATAACAAACGAAGACTATTGTGCGTGTGCCTTTTTTTGATTCTTCGTTTTTCATTTTTTTCATCATCATCCCCTTTACCCAATTCATAAACTTCAGTCTAGGTTTCAAGTCCCGCACGCAATCGAATCATCCTAACCTTCCTATAGGCACATTAGACAACCACTGTGGCTTGTTGTTCCAGAAAGGCGGATGGACAAAAGCCGAATATGACGCTCGGATGCCCCCGTTTTGGCAAGAAATCTACTCTGGAGAAATAAGACCATACATCAGAGCGTAAGGTGTCCTCCTCATGGTTCTAACCAACTAATACTGACAAGTCCCAGCGTATTCACCACTGCGAGAAAGCCTCGCGAAGAAGGTCCATCATGACGCTATACAAGAGGAGTTTCCTAGTCGTCTTCAACATTACTGGTTACGATGATAATAATATTCAGAAATATTCTCAGCAAGTGCTTTTACCTCCTAATACTCAAGAATTACGGTCTACCCTAGGAGTTTCGGGGCCGGAAAACTGGCGCTCGATTCTCACGGTCGAGTAGGAAGCTGTCGTTGTTATTGCTGTCGCTTAGTAAGTGTACCATCAGATATTAGGTTGTACAAAAATAAAGCACCAGTTCAGAATAAGCCGCAATCTCTTAAGGTCATAGCGGAGGAAGGACAACTCGAACTGCCTTAATGTTAACCCACGTTCAAGGGGGCATTAGCCGCTCTGTGTACGCAATGAAACACCTGCCTATTCAATACTCGGCTCACGTCTCACCGCAGGATTCACATCATGTACATACATAGGTATCTACCTACACAGATCTGCATACTATCGCCAACTGCGTGTGAATCCAAGGGTTTTCAAACCCCGACTCGTCTGTACGCATAAATAAGGAACGGACCTGCAGGCTAGCCCACTAATTGGCCTGCTTATCCTACATGTTCGCCAGTTCCCCGTGGATTCTCCAGTATAGCTTGCCGGTCCGTTTATAATATTCGCGCAATGGACACTGCTTTGTATATAGAGAAGGTGTAGGCGATTATCGAAGCCAGTAGTTTTCTCTTTTGTTACTCATTTCCTACCCTAAGGTTACCCTCCCCATAAAACTGAGTGCCCAACCTACTTAGGATAACTTACCTACCTAGGTATGTATCAGGCTATCCCATGCTGGCGACCTGTGGTCACGAGAGGAGTCGCATACTGCATTTGTCGAGATGTTATGCACAGTCGGAAGAATACTAGGGCTTAAGGCGTGGTCCGGCAGTGTAATGCGGCATTTATCGAATGATGACCTCCGAAGGGGTTCTTCGGGCTCTTCGGCCATGGCATCGAAGGTGTGTACCGTGACTGCTTGGCGGACGAATGAATGGATGACACAACGTGAGAAGCAAGTAGTTCGCTTCTTACTTCTTAAGGGACATGGTTTGCGAGAGGTTGGATGACGGCCAATCGGCTCACTTGCCTAGTTCTTCATAATATTCCTAGGATCATTAACGCACGTCATACAAAAAAGTCCCGTATGTTTCACAATGGGGTTACTACTATCTCATGTGCATACGATGGGCAGAAGAAATGTACTATATTCCACGCCGAAGCTACATGATGTCTTTATAAACGAAGACCTGTAAGCCATTACGCAGCTATACTATATATATATTGTAACTAGTGTATAGTATAAAGACCTTTTTGAGGCATAAGAGTCACTTCAGGTAGTAATCGGCAGCCCCCCGTATGCGAAATATATCTTGATATATATCTTGGGTATCTCTTAGGTAGGCATCTTGGTCATTTCAAGTCTCACTAAAGAAACTCCAGAGTTTAAGACTATGAAAGGAGTAGGCGATTTATATTTCTAACCTAGGTATATCCAACCTTACTATACTTCCGAAGTAGTGTTTTGGTTTTATTTTTTATAGATTTATTGTATAGGCTAGATCGTCTGCAAGGGGCGCATGAAGTTTTTACAGTGTGCCGAGAATTAGCCAATGTATCTAAATGAATGCACAAGAACCAACATCCCCCCACGGAACTCAACCCGGCATATATGTCGAAATAGCTTGGGGTGCATCCACCAGCGAGTATATTTCCCTATAACCCCCTTATTAATGTATACAACACCGGGGACGAAATCTACGGCTGGAATTGTGGTTAAGTTGTACTACTTATGAGAGAACTAGACGGAATCCCCGATCTTCTAGATTCTCTAGTATGGTATTTTTAAATACTAGTTTACTGATCCATATATTCTTGCTAATTATATCGACCTTTGAGAGAACTGCTGACATCTTATGACTTAGTAAGAATATATTTTACCCAGTTTCTACGAACTATATGCGGTGGATGGGTTAGTAGCCTGCATGGTAACAAAACGTATGATTTATGTAGACACATCGTGTCATGTTGACTTGTTGGGATTTAACTGATGGGATGAGATTAACTTACATACCATTTCGTGTTTTATTTACTTGTATTTTCACGATATTCGTTTATCGATAGATGTTGAGGTGCTTTAAGGTCAACGCTTATATCATTATCAACAACAGCAGTACTGCGGATATACATTTCAACTGTAAGTCTTCTACCTTGCCCTTGTTCCATTGGTTACCTTTTAAACCTTCAAGTCCGTGGACCATCTCCATGCGTTAAAGTTGGATTTCAGGAGATGGTTAGCTCCGGAGCGCTTCACCGAACGTTCTACGTGGCATAGCGAACAAGGAGCTAATCAGGGTAGTCCACTCAAACGAGATTTCGCATTTAGTACGATCAACTTCGAGCCCAATCGCATGCGCCGCCTTTCCTTTCTGCTTCCCTCTCCCTCTTCTCTCGTTCTCATCACCTCCATCCTTACTCTCACCTTCGTAAGTATCCTCCAGGATGATCTTCTGCGATTCAACTACGAATCTATCGCTGCCAATAACGTGGTGTTTCCAATGCGTCCACTCGCAGTCTCGGCCGATCGTCAATCGCAGTCGTGCTTCGGTGGCGCGGCTGCTTGGCGGCGGCATCCCGTGAGCCGACCGCAGCCATTCTGCTACCACCGTTTCATCTCCACATTCCACGAATAGCAAGCTCGCTTTCAAAGTTGGATTGTCCTGGTGTAGCTGCGATACGAAGTACGCGCGCTGCCGGTCAGGTGATAACCGTGATAGTACCAGAGGCAAAGCTACGATGCATTTTAGATTATTGCCGCTTCCGCCCCACGGACGCGGCATAGCCAGGGGGTCTGAATTACGCACGTACAGCCACCCGCGCAGTCGTAACAGGTGCTCATCCACGAAGGCAGTCTCGAGCGCTGCCTTCAGCGTATGAGAGAGTAGACGTAAGCCCGCCCAAAGTTCTGGCAGGTCCTCGCCGTGGACGAGTATACGCATGACCTCGGTCCATATTTCCAGGGGTAGCGGCGGACAGCGGGAGATGGTGATGATGAGAGGTACAGGAGTAGGAGTAGGAGTACTTGTGGCTTTCCTGGTTTTCCGGGGTAAATTCATGCGTTTTAGCATTGTGAAATATCTTGATTTTGATATGAAAAGCAAGACGTTATCTGTATGAATTGCGTAGATCAATCGCAGTTTGAGAGACTCAAGACGCTGATAGATAACGCGAGTCAGATCTCCGGTTTCCCCGAATTAGCCCGTAGGTCTCTCGGAACTCACCCCGTGTTCAATCGAGCTTAAATACTTAAAAGTAACTTAGGTTATTGTTTAACCTTGATTCTTAAAGTTGAGCTTTTTTTCGACTTGATAAAATCCGTCGGCCGACGAGATGCGAATTACTCTTTGGGATGTTATCGCACAATTACATCAATTACATATCAATTACATATCAGGATGATATCCATCTAACTGAGGATGTCCGAAATATAAGCCACGGGGAATCTGAGATGAACAGGATGTAAATGTGGCTTATCATATTACTACATTCCACAAATTCCACAACATGACAATGGCAACTTTACTTCTTTTACGAGGGACCCACGCTGCTCCTTTGTAATTATCTAATTGCTGACATGGCTATAATACGTGTCCGTCAAGCCACACACCTCTTATTTGAGGATAGTAAATGACGATTAGTAAAGGAGTAATGTAAGCAGGTAAGGCGATCCGATAATTTATCAATCCTTAAAGGTGTAACAACAAACCCAGTAAACCTCGAGATTTGGTTGTATCGCAGGGCAGAATGTGGCCAATGAGCTGGCATGCTATGTGATTTATGAAGATCTTCATGATAGCTTATCGACCCGCGGCATTGGGGCTGTAGTATTAAGGAACGGAAAAAGTCTATAGACATAGAACATATAATTAGCTATCAAGGGATTGCATAGCGATAAATATACCTAGCAGTGAATTGGGTAAAATTGGATTTGATAATATTGATGTTAGGGACTTACTATACGGGATTAATATAGGCACCTCTGGGTTGGATGTGGGTTAGGTACTTAAGGCATGAAGTTGTACCAGGACAGAATGGAACTGGGCACGCATTTAAGCACCCAACCCATGCAGGTAGATGCTTGTATAAGTGTGGCGTTTCAGCTTGCGGTATTCCCAAGCATCTGAGTACATAATGTACCTAAGCATGTAGATAAAGTACATACATAGAACCCAATTTTTAAACATCATTCCAAGCTATAAAATAGTATTAAGATAAGGTACCTATCTTCTAGATTGATACTAAGAATGAACCTTAGTATTATTATAATAATAAGAAACCTGTAATTATGTCGTACCTTCGAGATGCAAAATTGAATACGAAATTCCATGATTACCTACATGTAGAAATTGGTACAATTAAGTACCGGTAGGTAGGTACATAGGTACTTAAGTAAATGCACTTACCTAAATTTAGCGCCGATGGGGCGTTGCAACTTGCAAGATCTCCAAGTGGTCCGTGAACCCGCTGTCCCGCTAACGCCACAGCAGTTACTAGGTAACCCACCAACTTCCCCTTTCGCAGCGAGATTGAGGAAATTGAGGCTTGTGATTACCTACCTTAGGTTTTGTACTCTTCTGACTTCATTTCTGCATTTCTGCCAAGGTTTAAAGGCAACTTGCAACTTGGGAGGTACGGTTAAGTTTAGGTAGGCCTAAGAGGTACCTAAGTCTACTACCTAAGTCTTTCAAGATTACCTAGCTACAATTTACAATTACCTCCTCTTCCGCATTTCCACCTCCGACAAGACGTGCACCTACTAAGATATTTTTTCACTTCACGACGCGCGACATCTTTTCGGTTTTCGATTCTTCCTAATTCGTGTCCTTTTTCAATTTCAACCAGCATATTCAATCCGATCGCGCCGACCCTCCAATCAATCGACAAAGCACACCCTACCTGCACTACAACCTTCCAGGCGCATCATATCATCAACTCGAGTTGCCCCTTTCTTGTTTTGTTTTCTTGGATCGTGCCACGCTTCTCCTACGCCTATACCGTATTAGCAGTCCTACAACAAAGTCAAGATGCCGTCGCTTTGCGGATTAGGAGGATCAAAGACAGTACAGCGTAAGCTGGTTCTTTTGTAAGTTTAGCCATTCTTGGTTTCTGGTTGTCTCTATTACGTGCCTGTGTTATGCGCCGAAACTTTATTGTGAGTTTACAAACACTAATATTTTCCAATAGGGGAGACGGTGCTTGCGGAAAGACATCTTTACTGAACGTCTTCACGCGAGGATATTTCCCGACAGTTTATGAGCCTACGGTCTTCGAAAACTACGTTCACGGTATGTCTAATATTCCTAGCATTTCCAGCGCAAATGTGCAAGGCTCGAGGAGGGCATGATAACATAATCAGTACACTTTTGCGTGGGCTTTCACTAATCAGACGTTAGATATTTTTGTGGATAACGTGCACATCGAACTATCATTATGGGATACAGCCGGACAAGAAGAATTCGACCGCTTACGAAGTCTCTCCTACGATAACACAGACGTAGTTGTGCTCTGTTTTAGCGTCGATAGTAAAGACTCGCTAGAAAACGTGGAAAGCAAATGGGTTGGCGAGATCCAGGAGAATTGTCCCGGTGTGAAGCTGGTCTTAGTAGCCCTCAAGTGCGATCTACGAGAGAACAACGAGGAAGAAGACGATGCTGCTGCGAGCGGAACAGACGGTCCCCAAAGAGAAAAGAAGCCCATGATCGACTACAACCAAGGCCTAGATGTTGCGCGGCGCATTAAGGCTATGCGCTACCTCGAGTGCTCAGCCATGAGGAATCGAGGCGTCAATGAGGCCTTCACCGAGGCTGCTCGAGTGGCTCTGAGTGTCAAACCAAGCGGCGAGGGCGATTCGAAGTGTACTGTCATGTAAGATCGGTACGAATTTGTGCTACCCGACTCGATACGAATTTCCTTCCACAGGCCCTGGACAAAGCGCAGGAGTTTGGGATCATAAGAATATCCCTATTATTTTATTTTATTTTTTTGGAGTGCCAATACAAACTAACCAACGCTGTGCGCGGGCGCAGCACCACGAACCTGTCCTCGATACAGTTCATTTTGTACTATCTGATACGCGCTTCCCTTCCCCTGTACATATCCTTATTTGTTCAACTTCTGCGCACATACATGGAGCTTGGACTTATTATCTGTTTTTGTAATCATCGAGGGGTAGATGGTATACTGCCGATGAGAAGCAGCACTCGAGAAAGAGGTCCTTTGTCATTTATTATGGCTAGACGAGTAAAGCTATGATAATCTTTTTTGCACCGGTGGAAACCATCCTTCACTGTTGGTCTTCCTATCTTCTATGCTTGAACGTGACCTAAAAAGCTGGCAAAAGCAAGGGATAGGTAATTGAGATTTAATTGTTTTCGGAAACAATACTATTTCCTTCGTTGTCGGCATCTTCGTTGCTCTCTTCCGAGTCATCCTACAAGATCTTGTGAATAAGGTGGAGTGAAAGCACCTGCGAGAGTACTACATGTAATTCAAGGATAATAAAATTCGAGCATTGGGCGGCCTTAAGGTGGAAAAGGAAGGCTTACGTCCAGATCGATACCTATCTCTTAGGCAATGATATAGGTACCTTCCTATGCGGGAGGGTTTCTGTGACAGTCCAGTACCAAAATGCGAAAATACTTCATATCTTTTAAAATTGGTATGAAGCTGGGGATCTGTATTCGTATTAAGACATAGTCGCTCACACCGGGCAGGAAGAGTCCTTGATAGGTTTCGGGTAACGTCTAGCAGTACAGACGTTAAGAGAGCTCACGTTAAGATGGCAGCACTAGGTACACCATAAGAAAGGATCTTACGCTGGTTAGTAAGGCCAACTCAATGAGTGGATAAAGTTAGATGCGTACGACTGTAGGGATGCTGTCAGGGTAGCGGAAGACTCTGGTATGAGCGTTTGCCATTTGTGCTACTATTTCGAGCATATTCTTCCAAACTTCTATCAGCTCCGGTTCGTGTGATGTACCACCTTATTGGAGGAGACGATGAAGTTGGAAAATGGTATAAAGATATATTAGGTACACCTTCCCCAGCATAAGACAAACAACGGACGACGGATTCGACTTCTAGCAGTCTTTGCTATATATAAGATGCTTGGGGAGAGAGCTCCAGGCATCGTTACATCGGTTCATCGGTTCAATATCCCTATATAGCATATTAGTGTTAAATTGCCCACTCCGAAGAGCCCATGTTGTAGCCTCACAATTCCCATCAGTACTCCATCCACCCATCCGTAATTTACCCCTTGTTCTAATACATCTAGCGAAGTCGCAAAAAGTTCATCCTCAGAGAGATATAGCGGTAACTAGTAGTCTGTATGTGGAGCGGGTACACGGAGCGGTCGACTGGAGACTAACGCAAAGACCTCGTCAATATAATACGCGGTGACTAAGATCTTTCGCCGACACTCAAAAAGGATGAATGGTACCGTTTCAACTGAGTAGAGTGCCTCGCGATGCAGACCCAAGGCGAAGAGGTCTGTAACAAGATCGCCAAATCTACGCCAAACGCTCAAGCTTGTGAACCTGTATTCATGTTAAGTTGTTACAGCTAGAGCAGACATGACAGCGGACGGCGGTCGTGTATAAGAGGCCAAGTGTTTCTAAGCATAGGTTCTCTCCGCTGAATAGTTCACAGAATAGTTCAATATCCAAATCCAGTCTTATAGAACAGCTTCTCGATTGATGAAAGAAATTTTAGCTGTAAGATGATTTCTTCCGTAAAAGTTAAGTATTATTCCTTATAAGTTTTCTTGTCAAGCGATTCATATAGAAGAGCCCGCGATGTCGTGTTGCTGGTGTCATTCAAGATGAAAGACAACGTATGAAATTTCGGGGTTTCCCAGGTGATTCATGCTCATAATCTCACTTCGTTCGTTATTGTTTAATTAAGTACATGTAGATGTTGGCAGAAATGGTTTTTGTTGGCCTCGGCGTTTGGTCAGCGGTGCAGGATGGACCATGGCACCAGCATTGTGATTCGAGTCCTCGACGCCGACAGGGAGCACATACAGGCTTTTGATGATCACATCGAATCTTGAGAACCATTACGACGACGGCTTATTATTCACATGTTGACGTAATTAATTTGCAGAAACGTATTAGCTCGTAAGACAAGTAAAACGGAATTGGAAGTAATCCGTTCACATCGGCATAACAAGGGTTGCCGGAATATATATTATTGGACGTCGTCCGGTCGGACTAGTCGGTATAATCGGACTAGTTAATCCAACTACGAACCACCAAATCTCCAGTTCTAGGAGAGGTACTGTATCTATTTTTAATGTCTTATAAGTTGTTTGAAGGGTCTTTGCTACTACTGCTAGCGAATCAACGTAGACGCATACTCCTAAAATGGAAATTCCGGGCAAGTCACCAGCGATGCGACCCACTCAACAAAGCAATAATATCACACTGGAATATTATTATCAATTACATAAGGGCTTTTGGGGGTTTGGTGACTATCATGAAGAAATCAGGTAGCTTACGTAGTTCCTTGAAGATATGTTGATGGATGTCTAACGAACTCCGAGACGTTTCTTATGCCGACACTGGATGTGTTATCTAACACCGAGCTATACTGGTCAGCAGAACAAAATATATAATGTGGTTACTATTGGAAGTCTCCTAGTGATATCATATACACCTTACATCGATTCTAGACTACGAGAATTGCCTTTACTGAAAATCTGCCTGGCATTAAGATCATCTACAAAGATGTCCCCTACAACCAATCAAGAACAGTCATCCAGCTCAGTAGAGAAGCACGCGCACCTACGCCAAGTTCTGTCTGGAATCGATAGTGAAGTGAGTTTGAGGAAATATTAAAACTTAAATGTAATTGGTATAAGACTAACACAATGTGTCCAGCCTCGAAGGAATACAAATTAGCACTTGACCGCGATAAAATATTCCCCACCTCAGGCGATAAACCCAATAGCTCAAAGGATGGGAACACTAGACGCAAAAATAATATGAAGTCAGAGATCAGTCCTGTGATTTTAGGCATTGTATTCAGCCTGAAATAAAAAGGGAATCTCTAGTTTGAGGAGGAATGTGGAGAGAAAGTGTTTGGTCGGAGTTTGCCCTGCCTCATGTACACATGGAATAATTTTGTTAATTTAATCCGAGGAATCCTCATTTCTCGTTGCTACAGTCATTAAACCCATAATTACTTTATAGCTGTTCCCCATTCTTTATTCTTAGTTGGCGCGTTCCAGCAGATAGGAATGCTTCACAACCTTGATTACGCCATCATTGTCTAACTTCTCGATTTCCACGAAGATATTGGCTTCTTTGGCTTCAAGCGTCGGACAATGACAAAAGAATAAAAATATAAGGAATCCAAGAATGCTAATAAGGAGAACAGATCCACCGATTATGGTGATGTAACCTTTATCATATCATTAGAAGGATTTCTTTGCAGCACGACAATCTGCTTACTTGATAATATATCTCTATCCTCAGATGATCCCCGCGTAGGGGCCTCTGTATTTATTGATATGTTATGAGGCATCGGTCCCTGTTGGGTGTTTTGTTCTATGGCTTGTTCCAACATACTATAATAACTCTACTGACTATCATATGAGTTAATAAGTTTAAGATGTGAAGAAGCGAACAATGAATATTTATACTCCTAGGGTACTAGATTGCATATTCCAGGTTCTTCGTGATTGAGAAACCATGCCACGTATTAGTATCACTGTGCACCTCTAAAATATACATTATTGTTGTACTTACATTTACGCACGAAAGATAAACGGCAGAAAAAGAAGCAAGTAAGCTGTTCCTACTTTACTAAGCAACTTTTGCCCTAAATGTTGTAAACCACCCGTCAGATGCTTAGAAAGGGTTGAATATCACCACTATACGACTGCCTATATAGTAACACGTGTTTCATATAACCCACTGGTTATATTTTATTTCCAGAAGCTTTGACTATGAAAGAGACCCCGGTCATCAATTCATCAGGTTGGTATTAGACCAATATACCTATCCTCACAACATTAATACCAAAAGCCTCAATAAAGTATAGTCCATCATTAAAGAAACAATTATTCTAAGACTTTATTATAAACATTCAGCGTTAAACTATCTATATTAAAAATAGAGATATTCTAAACAACATTTCATTAGGGGCCGTCTTTGTAAATATGTCTGAGATAGAGTGGCTACAGTTGTCTTTGAACATGAACACAGTGTGGCAGCCTGCCGGTATAGCCCCGAGACATTCGTCATGAGGCGTATCTCATAATTTACGAGGCCAGACAAGCAATGGTCTAATAATAGTAGTTCAGCTCTCTAGTTAGGAGGCGACTTCGTCAGATATTATGTACCTAGATTGGGAAGCTAAGAATTTCTGCAGTTCGTTTGCTATCAAGTACATCCGATTAGCAAAGGCTGTCTATATTAAATTACGAAATGAGTGCTATGTGTACTTGGTTCTAATAGCGATAGAGTGGGTAAGAGTGCCTAAAGAAAGGCCTGCGGAGCCTTAGATATATGAATACATAGTGAATAGCTTTCCCAAGAGCTTTGCTATCTACCTTAAGAGGGGGGCACCTAGGTAGCCACGTAGAAATTGTCAAAATATTAAATGCCCAAGTAGTAAACTGGGTTTTTGATACTTCTTTAAAACAGTGCCATTGTTATGAGCCGTATTTTATTATACCAATAGCATCATTTTGTTTAAACACAAAGAATTGGAATTGTTCTTCAAAACTAAGATTTGATTCCACACAAAGGGTTCTCAGCCTGCACACACTATGGAAGTAAAGCTACAACCATAATCTAGAATAAACAAGAATCGAGTTCCTTCTCAAACTAAGAGACAATTTTCCTTAATAAGTTCTGTCTAAGTAATAGTTTAACGAGTAATTAGAGCAAAAAGCTTATAGTATCTACAGTACAGTAAATATTCAATATGTCGAACTTCTCTTGTGGCCATAATCTAAAATCACGCGTTGGCGCCAATCTAGCGTACATAGCTCAAGACAAACGAAAACCATGTCCAGATTGCCAGACTCGGACTCCAGCAGGTGTTCTC